TTCAGTAACGGCGCTAAACTTTGGTGAGGACTTTGCAGCCGTGGTGATAAGCTGACTCTCCAGGAGGATCCGAATTAACCCCAAAGTAAGGCGAATGACAAAATACCTACTTTTGAAGTTTCAAAGCGAGTAGTGTTCCACCTAAGACATGCTGCGGACTATGTATACAAACTACATAACTCGTTTTTAGATGTATCATTTGTTGGAAAAGGTCAAGTAGTTTTGATACTTTACGCTCTAAAGTTTTACGCTAACTGTAACAAAAATGCCTTTTAAGCAAACTGTGCACTAGTAACGTTGAAACGCATTTTCAGGTGCTTGGTAGTAGAAATTTCCATCTATTGTTCAGTAGGTTTGTTTGGACCTACGTGGAACACGGAAATGTAGTGTTTCCTGTAGAAAAGAACACTTCGGAACCTATCCAAATGTGAGTCACAGAATCAGTTCGATGGCTCAAGTCGAGACCTTGTGAAGAGCTATTCAAGTCACCGGATTTCCAACTGCTAGAGTAAAGGAGTCACAGAGGTGACCTTCTATTGACTTATAGCATTCTAAACTCTCTTAAGAATTATTTAAATAAATAAATAAATAAATTCCCTTAGAGGAAATATCCAGAACTTAAAGGCCTCACCTTGTTACAGACACACTAATCTTTACGAATAGTCAAATTATGGAACTTTTAATCTGGTGAGGTGGTAAAAGCTAGTTCTATCGACTCCTTCAAGTAAAAACTAAACATATTCTTAAGGAATGAAAACAGCACTTTATTATAACTTACTAATATTTCCCTTCTACTCTTTGAATATACTAGTGTGGTGAACAAGAACACAGGTGGGGCAACCGAATTGTATTTAACGAAAATTACAGAGTTACTCAGTAAAATCGGAAAACCATATCGTAAATCGTTAATTTGCAAAATATCAGTTCATCATATCGAACTGGACTGTTCCTATTGCAAAACATCAATCCATTTTCACTATTCATGCGTTTCATACAAATTCCATTATGTTCTAACTCTTCCTTTCTTGATCTTCCCCCATCTTCTGCTGACAGACATTACGTTGACACTCACGTCATATACTACTTGTAAGTAGCTCGCACCACACTAGTTCCCTACCTGGAGGCATCAATGATCCATTGCTACTAGATGCAGAGTCCCGTCAAGTCAAATCTTTTTCTATTCCATACATAACCAATTCAACCATCCGCTACACTAGCAATAAGGTAACTTTGATGTAAAACTATTGACTAGTTTATTGATTGGCTGGACCTATAACCTCTGGATTCGACACCATTTGAGTGGAGAATTTTATCTCAGGTTATCAGGAGATTCACTCGTCCGTCACACTTTACGACTATTAAGCCTCCACGTCTGATGGCTGTGGACTTCAGAAATCGGAAAGACCCTGCTAAATAGCTTCGGACTTCGTGCAGCTTGAAAGATGCTGAGAGAGCAGACCCAATTCTGTGAGTTAACATCAGGTAGGCCAAATCAAGCGCACTGTAATGTTGGTCAGCCTTGATCAACAACCCCCGAAACAAGACACGAAGATCATGGCCTTGCCAACTGAATAAACTACACAAACAAAAAACGCTACAGCAGCTAGTTTCCACAGAACTGATAAACTTGGTTAGAAAAACTTGTTTTAAATTCAAAAACGGCTGTTGCTACAGGGGTGCAAAAATTGATGAAATGAACCACCAAGTGCCTCAATAGCAACGTAAGAGGACTCAAGAGTAAGCTGTTAGAGACCAGGAATGTGTGCTGTTCGACATATCCGAAGATCATGATGAACATTGTAGACGACAAAGTGAGCTTTCGACGCTACTAGATGGACTAAGGGTGAAAACCCTGAGACCTAGGTTATTTGTTAAGAACTCATCAGCTCCTGACTCGGGATGTCCATATCCACACACCAGTAGGACGTTGTGACCAGAATACAGTCATGTTTAACATAATCATAGACGAAATACCTAGGTGAGACGAAAACGCGCCCCATCTTTGCTGTACCACAGCAACCTAACTGTGCATGAGAAAGCATTTTTTGAACGACCCATGGCTACCGAAATGGTGGAGGCTAACAGTACATGACCACTGGCAAGCAAGTAGATATCATTCAAAATGATGTCCTACACAACGTGCCCTAGAAATATCATACATTGGCAGATTTAATAACTTGGATTATGCGATGATAGGCTGACACAAGTGAGAGGTTCCTCTCTGAATGATTCCGAATGCAGTCCTTACTAAGCAATGAGAGACAGATGTATAGCTAAGGTTCCAACTGATAGGAAATAGTTTCAGACGAAGCTAGCAGCCAAAATATGAACTAAGGTGTTTGTGCCCTCAAAGTTCTAATCGAAGATCTCACCAACCTAGAGATGACTGAGACCTTTAATATCAACCGCAACGATCAGTTACTCAGGTACCTACAAGTCCAGAGTACTTCCCAAAATCAGTGCCAGCTGACGGCTGGGGGGGGATATACCTGACTTAGTACTAGGAAATCTAAAATGCCAGTGCCCAGAAAAGTCACCATAATGTGACAATATTCGCCCCATAGTCTCGAAACTGTGTGTAGAAGTATGCAATTCACCGATATGCGACCTGTTCAAACATTACCTGCAATCACACCAACTCCCAGCTGAATGGAAACGAGCTACTCACTGTTACAGGAGAAATGAAGACATATGGCTGATTAAAAACTTTATATAAATATCATTAATTTCACTGTGTTTTTGGGTATATTTGTTTTACTTAACTTATGAACGTGTTTGAATTATTGTTTTCGGCCATTTTTGGACTCCTGTTTGTCTTGGTTTGTTCGTTTGCAGTTTTTTGCCCCAGGAACCTACAAAATTGAAGGTAATCGTAATTATTATAATTATTGTTGTTAGAACGACATCGGTCGTCTATTTGTAATAAACGAACGACATTTTGGTCGATTATTGTGAATTAAGAATAAACTTTGGTACCTACTTTGGAGTTTCGTTTTGATATAAATATGGGTTCGTGAATTGCAAATAGATCGACACACAGTACTTCTCAGGAGAAAGGAGCAAAAAATTGGACGTAACACTCAGTCCAATCTTTGAAGGAGGCGCCAGGAAGGACCCTTACTGTTTCGGATCAGTACCTTACTACCAATACTGTCGAAAGCAATAGAAGGACTGGTCAATGAGCAAATGAGGGGGTGCACAGACATGAACGAGATACTCCAAGAAGCTCACCATGGGTTTAAGAAAATCAGACCGTGCATATCCTACCTCCTCATAGCACAGGACAGTTGGACAGCCAGTTGAACCAAAATTACCCCTTCATATAATATTCCTCGCCTTCGCAAAAGCTTTTGACACTGTACCTCACAGACTCCTATTAGCGAAGGTCGCGAAGATGAAATTCAGAGACACACTTCTATATTTTTTCAGAAACTACCTTAAAAACAAAACGTTTAGTACCAAGGTATATAGTGTGCATGTGACCTGGCGAGTCTCAACATCAGTAGTTTCGCAGAAGGTCATCTTCGATCCACTCCAGTTTCTAATATTCACTGATGACTCGTTAGATAAAAATGGCTCAGAGTCACTAATCCACGCAGGCAATGCATAACCCCGGAGGTCCATAAGAAGCAAAGAGGACTCATCTGGGCTTCTAAAGGACTGAGGAATGGGTATTGAAAAACGGATTACAACTCACCCAGTCTAATTGTGACATTATGAACATGCTTTCCTATGTGACGTAACCAACTTTCACCGTGAGTGGAAATTCTCTCCCTAATGTCTCCTCAGATAGTAACCTCGGATTAATTACCACAGAAAGCCTGAAAGCCACTTCAAACTACATAGCGGTTGCAGTCAAGGGTAGCTCAATTTTTTACTTTTGCCAGACAACCTGATGGGATGATCCCAGATTTATTCCTAACGCTGTTTAGATCATACTTACGACCACACATTGAAGTTCACAATGTCGTCGGACGCTTAAACGAGACATAAATCTCTTGGATCGAATGCACAGATGAGAGAAAAAATGTATGATAGGGTCGAAAAACAAACCGTATGAAGATAGACTCCAGCACTTTGTATTATTCCTCCAAAGTTACAGGACAATCAAAGATGATCTGAAAATGGTGTTCAACGTAATAAGTACTCCGAATCATCCAGACATCAGCATCTTTCCACAGCATCGAGAAAATCCACGAAAAACCGCTCATCAGAGAGAGAACACCCAGGTCCGTGCACTCTTTTTCTCACTAAGAGTTGTGGCAACTTGGAATGCCCCCTCAACCAAGGTAACCATGTCCCTCTAAGTGGATGGCTTCAAGAAGGGACTTAATAAATACGTACTCACATACCGATTGTCATCTTTATCTTGAACCAGATATGCGTGATGCATGTCTCGAAACTCGCTAGTTGTTATTACTGCCATTCCCATTGATCATTACCTTAATCTGTCTCGCTTGTTATCTACGTTTCCTCTCCCTTGGTGACACTTCTATCCTTTAACACAGTCTGTACTCTCTGAAATTTCGCTAGTATTAGAAATTTCTTATTATTGTTCTCAACATTACAAATAAGTGATCTCTGGCCTAGTAATGTGACAGTTCCTTGTATACAGGACCCCTAATGCCCTGAAACAAACACGCTCATTCAAATCACGGAACATACAAATTCATAAGCAACTCCAAAATGAATAGAATTGGTGCAGCCAAGTGACTGGAATACCATCCTTTGGACACCACAAAATACCTGGAACCGCACCGAAATAACACGCATTGAGCTCAGAGAAATCAATTGGTTTATACTAGCTCGTGAAAAAGATATTGGGTTTTGGAACTGCAATCCCACCAGTGATAAAGTTGCGCACTTCAACTACATTGATTTGCAGGTTGTCTTAGCCTTACTCCCGGAATATTACTGAATATTACCGATTACTTAAGGTAAGCCAGCTATTTAATTTCGGACTAAATGCAAACCTAACGTTGAACGTTGCGTTCCAAGATAGGATTTCGAAATTGCGCAATGGCGGGTACAACCGTTCCACACTATTGAGCAGCCCCTTTTTCTTCAGCAGAAGGTTTGTCACCTTAAGGATGAAACTTTTACATGGCAATCCAAATATTCCCGACATCAAGTCTATATTTGGCTCAGATGTTTCTGCGTGTGTTAACATGAACGTAACACCTGGCAGCAAATCAGCAAACCTAGTACCATACGCAGTTGAGAAGTTCAAAAGTGAAGAGACAGACACGGTAAGAGTCGTAAAGTAACAACATATATCTTCTAGCCATTGCTACGTTTTCAATGTAAATATACAAACTATAGTTATGGTTCAGTCTTCACAAAGTTCATGCACTAGTGTATGTACCGCAACTTGACCAGTGTCGTCTATTTTAGTTTAAGTAACATCTACTTCACGTTAGTCACAGATGTCTGTCTACGTATATCCAACGGAAATCTGTGGGTACAAGAATTTGAGTTTTGCATTAGATGGATAAACTGGTACCTGCCAAACAGATCGCTGCAAATGAACATTTTAATGTCGACTATACGAGTACACATACATAATAAAGCAATAAGTGGCCCAAATTTTCTGAAATGTTTGTCTCCGATGCGTTTAGGTTGTTTGAACCCATTGATATGCGACGAAATGGCTCAAGGCTCCACAAGAGTCGTATATTATTATTAAGTTGGAGTGCAAGACTACATAACAGCTTCACCTTACTACCACGAAGTGCAAAAAGTAATTTGATTGCCTAAGGCTTATGCATTGAGTTATATTAATTTAAAGTATTATTACACATGGCTGTCCGGTGGTTATTCGGGCTACATATGGTCTTGCTCCGGTGAATTAGTTTGTCAGTTTGTAGTATCTGATGTAAGAGGTTTTATTCTAGGTATTTCAGTTAAGTGTATGCTCACCCTCACAAATCGCGATTATAGACGGGAGTTTTGTTATGAAAAAGCATTGCGACATTAAGACACTGGCTACTTTTGTTTCTTATGAATGTACTGTATTCGGTGAAAGGTTATGCTTCCCGTTCAATCAAGAATAAATTAGAGACCTTTGGTTTAAAAGCCATCTACAACCTATTAATTTAATTCCGGAAACAACCTACAAGCTACGGATCCCACAATAGTATGTAATCAAGATCTTATTCTGTCAACGTAACTTAAGCTCCGTTACTTTGTGTAGTTGGTGATAAATCTTTTAAGCGATCAGTGTACTACTAAAGTAGTGTTGGTTTATATGTACCTCCCAAAAGTAAATTCACCGTTTTTAAGTTTATTTTATGGAAAATGATAAGCTTTGTAACTTTTCTCTACTGTTATTTATAATCTTTGACTTTCCATAATGTTAAATTAGTTTTTCAAAGATCTAAAACAGTATCATTCAGATTCCTCTTATAAACTGGTTTCTCCTTGATTGCATCCATAGTTCCAATAAGGTTCCACATTGATCAGCTATGCTACTTTTACACAGATTATATGGTGGAGCAAACATGGTGCTGTTGCAAAAACTGTTGCGTGTGCTGAGATGTTCAAAAGCATTATGTCTAATACAATTCCCCGGACGCCACAGTTAGATAGTGTCAGCTCGCCAAAACTGTACCAGTGTAGTCGCTTGCATCTTCAGTCTTGTAACTGCTCAGTCCCTGATACAACAATGACGTGCACCGTGGTAAGATTGGTTATCTACAATTTACTTTTGCTTTCATATGCCTTTATCAACTTCTTTGATAGCGTAATCACAAACTATGTTATGAGCAATAGGTATCACAAATATTTTGAAATTTGTAACTAAGTGGCATTAATTGTTTGCCTCATTTCTCGAAATTTTAACTCTCCCAATTTCGGTTCCACGCTATCCAAAACCTAAACTGGTAAATTTATGAAAGTTTAGCTAAATAGGGGATCAGGAGGAAACTTATCTTGTTTTTTGAATGCAAACTGCAGATTCAAGCAGTATTATACCTTCAAAAGTTTAGACTTTAATCCATATACTGACGATGTCTTTTTTGTGACGAGTAAATAGTGTACACGGAAGGTAGCTTCAGTATGCTAGAACTCTTGCTCCTTTATGTCCTATCATACAGGCAGCTTAGTTGGAGAATGGTAAGCCTAAAAGTGGTAGACTCATCTCAAGAGCAAGGTCGTACTCCCGATTGCATAAAATCGTAACGGCACTTAAGTGTTTTGGTTTCTTACCCTTTTTGTTCAACTATAATTTTTTCAATGAAATTTGCTACTATAATCTGCATCACCTTAGCTTAAATTATAGTAATTTAGTTTTAAATCCGTTTAAGCACGCTTCTATATTCTCATCTGCTTCCTTACTTTATGCCTCAATCTGAATAGTAGCTATATAGATAAGTTAGATTATCAGCCCTTGTTTCTAGTCTTTCTATTCGGACACTTAATGGGAACACCAAGTTCATTTTATAACATTATGTCATCCTTAGATCAAGAGGATTTCTTTGTTCAGTAAATTGTGAAGTCAAGGGTTAACAAACAGATCAGCCATTAAGTGCGTTGTGCGCCCTAAAACTCAATGATAGCTTGTTTATCTGTTTCGCCTCTTAATAATATAACTAATCGCTTCAATATTTTTAACAATATGTTAGTTTTAATTAAACGGTTCTGTTCAAAAAGCACAATAGTTACTTACCTCACCCAATTAATAGATACTATAGATCAGTAGTTGGTGATAAGCTTAAACTGTAAATCGCCTATCAGAGCCTGTTCCGCTTAGTCTTATCAACCAATAAATTACTCGTGGCTCGCGATCTGGCAGCATCTATTTTCCGTCATAGTTCTATGCGGATATAGTGAACTCGGTAGATTTCAATGAATCAAAACCTATGGCTTGGCAAATCTGGTTTAATATACTTTTCTCGTCTGATATCCAACCATTTAGTTATTTCAAATTATATTTATCACTAAATGGATTATCTTGTTTATGCCTATCTAGGAGGAACCGGGAATCGCTATCCTTTTTTCCAAATCTCCATTCCCAGGAGAAGATTGTCAATTGCCTGTTGATTTCGGGGGCAACGGTTTTTCAGACTTTGTGAAAAAAGGGGAAACATCGAAATTAACTTTAGATCACCCACCTAGTCGTCGCCGTCTATCTCGTACTATTCGGAAAAAACGTGATACTTCCCGTGGACTTGGTAAAAACGAGGCTAAATTTGTCAGTAATGATTCTTCAGAGACGAGTGATTTCCATACTGTCCCTTTTCAAACACCTCGTCTTGCTACAGCTATTTCAAACGTAAACAAAGTATTAAAGCACAAGAAGTTGAATAAAAAACGAAGAAAGCCATCAAATTCATAAAGACGAACTTTGTGGTCTATTTTTATTTACCTATTTCCAAATGTAATCTCCACTACCTTTTTGCATTTAGTTCAACGATATAAAAAGTCTATAGAACTGAAATACACTTCATGATACATCGTTTAGTACGCGTTTTTCTAATACACAAAATATATGAAAGAGTTGATTCTTGCATCTTTTTCAGATAATTATGCTACACAACTTCTGTTCTTCCAAAGACATAGGTATTCACTCGTAGAACCTAATGTGTGGTAAGTTGTATGTATCTGTTTTATAGCTAATTTCCTGAACAAATAGCTTTTAGAGGATATGTGTTTAGATCAGTTTGTGAATTTGTACACACAGTTGAAATTCTCCATCGTAAATTATCTCCTAAAGTAACTAAGTCGTCGTTTGATTTGCATTTATCTGAATTGTCTTGGTTTGCTTCAGGTTGGTCTTTTACTGGTGATTCATTGTGTTCTGAGTTTTCGTTTATTAATAATACATCTTGGTCACTGAATTGGAATGTTTGTGGATATGCGATGGTTGTCTCCCGATCCTCTTCCATTATGCTTATTCTCTTTCTCAGTAGATTAACCTTGTATATTGAAGAACAAAAATAACTGCTTAGTTTCAACGTACCTTTTCGAAGAACATTATGTTTCTTCACTATTACTTCAAGTCGACTGGTTGGCGCTTAAAAAAATATCTTTCAAATAGTCATCAGTTAATATCAGTAACGGATCAAATCACCAGTTTACTGATTCTGCTGCGACGCATCCAATAAAATAATAGCTAGCGTGTTTCGTTTTTGACAAAGAGAACACTAATTATCCTTGAGGTTCTCTTCAAAGTTTTCAGAATATTTCATTTCCATGACCTCCTGTGAGAGACAAACAGATACAACGCAGGACTTCGTACGTAAGTACATCAGTTCAAGTTACCATACCACATTAGCACAGAGATGTAATTGTAAATTCTAATCCAATAGTAGTAGAGGTAGTAAGGGTATTAGCAGTAATCAGAGAGATTAGGGTTTGTGAAAAAAATTAGGAAGAAAAAGTAATGAGGAAGTAAGAAGGTTAGGATTTGAGAGAACACAAAGAGTAAATGCACCTGCGCCATTGCAAACGATTCTGAGCTATGTCATTCAGGGTCTCTAACCATCGATTGCTACCATCCCGCGGACCCCAACCAGGTATTCGACACCTACCGACATGACTCAGTCCACTTGTCAGTGACTTCATGGATTTGTGTCGTGTTTCAGACTGGCCGCTCTTAGCTTTTGTTCGAGCTATTTCTACACCGCAAAATATAGCTCGACGAGGCAGTCAGTCGTTAGGCATACGCAACACATGTCCCAACCACCTCAGCTGGTGAAGTTTCAATGTTTCATCTATTGACCTGCCGTCCCTACCTAATACTCGTTTCCTAACGACAGCATTGCTTACTCGGTTGTCCCACGATACACGAGAAGTGCTTCGAAGACACCTATGATCGAAAACCAGTAACCTACGATTATCTTCTACTCTCACAGGCCATGTTTCGCAGCCATAGAGTAGGACAGACCGAAGTGCTGCGCAGTACACTCGTCCTTTAGTCAGCAAACTGATATCTCGCCTTCGCCATGAGTGACGCAGGTTGGCGAGAGCCAGTCGAGCCTTCTGTATCCGTGCTGAGATTTTGTCAGTCACCAAGCCGTCAGCACTGATGAGACTCCCCAGATAAGTGAAGCGTTCTGCACGCTAGACTACTTCACTCCCTATCACTAGTTCAGGTGCCGACGCGAGTCAATATTGAAGCAACATTTTCTACTTCCATGGAGAAAACCGCATCCTGAACATGCTTGCATTGTTGCTTATGGTAGTCAGAAGACTGCATTCCGTCACCGTCTTGACCGAATAGGACTATGGCATCAGCATACTCTAAGTCAGCAAGCATGTTCCCTGGTAGAATGACCACCCCTGAAAATTCAGAATACAAATTGCCTCTAAAAGCATGTCTACGATAAAGTTAAACATGAATGGAGAGAGTGGACATCCCTGACGGACACCACTCGAAGTAAAGAATTCCTATGATAGTTCAAAATAGGCTCTCACTCGATCGGTAGCGTTTGAGTACAGAGCTTCCCGACCGTAGCTGCTACCTTGACGTGGTGGTTGGGCTTGCCTATCGTGATGACCCAACCGAGCTATGTTGGCTTGAACGTATGTTCCTGAAGGTTCTACCATGCCAGGCAGGTCGGTTTAAGAACGATGAGACTAAAAGCAGCTACCCAAGGTCTGAGGGAGAAGTCATACTGCTGACTGCAGAAGGGTGTGACAGCAGTAAGCTGTTTCCCTCGGACAACCAGCATCTGCAGCGATGCTGCCTTCTCACAAGGAAGGAAGGGTTAGAAAAAGCCCACCCTAGAATTGTCACACCTCGCCTTACCTCAAGGATTTCCGTCTCCGGCGGTAAGGGTGCGCACTAAGGGCTTTCAAGAGCGGAGCTAATACTCAGAAAACCCTGCATAAAAAGGCCATGCGTGACCGGCCTCAAGCAGTTGTCCCTTTGGCTCTGCGATCACGCACCCAAGTCTCTAAGACCAACACTAATCTATCTTCCTTTTCAGGTCCCTCAAGAGACAACCTTCCACGGTGTGGGCAGCCGGGAAGTGACAACCGCCCTCATACCCGTAACAGCACTCGAGACCGAACTGGTCAAAATCAAATTCTTCCTACACCCCCTAGTACCTCTCGTCTCCACGACTAACTCTTCTCACATTCCTTTATCACACTGCACAGCTAATGCAAACAATGCGAGTACACGAAACGTCATTTCTGGTCTCCTGAAACCCCGTTCTAGACTACATGTTGGAGCATTTAATGTACGTACGTTATGTCGAATAGGGCAGTCAGTCAGTCAGTCAGTCAGTTGCAACGTAGAACTTCGTACGTATGTACATAAGTTCATGTTGCCATACCACGTTATTAGCACAGAAACGCAAATGTCAAATCAAATCCCATAGTGATAAAGATAGTAGAGATATTATTGGTAATGAAGAAGACTAGGGTTTGAAGATATTATTCAAAAAATATAATTCAGTGAGATAAGGTTAGAAAGACAAAGGTAGAGGTGCTGGCTAATCCAGAAGATTAGGATTTGAGAGAGCTCAAAGAGTGGATGCACCTGCGCCATTGCAAACGATTTTGAGCCATGTCGTTCAAGGTCTCTAACCATTGATGACTTTCGTCTCGCGGACCCCAACCAGGTAGTCTACATCTACCAACATGACTCAGTCCACTTGTCAGAGACTTCATGGATTTCTGCCATGTTTTGATCTGGCCGCCCCTAACTTTCTTCCAACCTACTCCTACACCACAAAACATAGCTCGTCGAGGCAGTCGGTGGTTAGGCATACGTAACACATGTCCCAACCACCTCAACTGATCAAGTTTCACCACTTCATCGATTGATCTGCCATCCTTACCTAGTACTCGTTTCCTAACGACAGCATTGCTTACTCGGCTGTCCCACGATATACGAGCAATGCTTCTTAAACACCTATGATCGAATACTAGTAACCTACGAACATCTTCTACTCTTAACGGCCATGTTTCACAGCCATATAAGAGAACGGAACGAACTGCTGCGCAGTACACCCGCCCTTTGGTTAGCGAACGGATATCACGCCTACGCCATAAGTGACGCAGGTTGGCAAAAGCCAATCGAGCTTTCTGTATCCGAGCTGAGATTTCGTCAGTCACCAGACCGTCAGCACTGATGAGACTCCCCAGATAAGTGAAGTGATCAACACGCTCGACTACTTCACTCCCTATCACTAGTTCAGGTGCCGATGCAACCCAGTCTTGAAGCAACATTTTGCATTTCGAGGGGGAAAACCGCATCCAGAACATGCTCGCATTGTTGCTTATGGTAGTCAGAAGACTCTGCATTTTGTCAGCGTCTTCACCGAATAGAACTATGTCATCGGCATATTCTAGATCAGTAAGCGACTTTCCTGGTAAAAGGTCAACCCCTGAAAAATCTGACGAGCTTAATGTTAACTCTAACAGGATGTCTACGACAAAGTTAAACAAGAATGGAGAGAGTGGACATCCCTGACGGACACCACTTGATGTAGAGAATTCAGATGACAGTTCGCCATATGCTCTCACTCGACCAGTGGTGTTCGAGTAGAGTGCTTGTATAAGGTTAATGTACTTCTTTGGTACACCTTTCAATGACAGACACTGCCACAGAACCTCACGATCCACTGAGTCGAATGCCGCCTTAAGGTCCAGGAACACGACTATTGTCGGACGTCTAAATGTGTGTCTGTGTTCCAGGACCTGTCGTAGTGTGAAGATGTGGTCTATACAACCACGTCCAGGTCGAAAACCAGACTGGTTTTCTCGAGTCTGCTCTTCACGAGCTCTAGTTAGACGTCTAAGTATAATCGAGGCTAACAATTTAGAAACTATATTAGTTAAACTGATTCCCCTGTGATTGTCACAAGAGGACTTCTGTCCTTTCTTGTAGATTGGGACAATTAGCGACTGAGACCAGTCAGATGGGATTACGTCCATTTCCCAGATTCTACCTAGGATCTCGGTCAGTCTAACCGTTAAAACTGGGCCACCATCCTTAAACATCTCAGGGGTAAGCCTATCAGGACCTGCCGCTCTATATCCCCTTAGATTTCCTATAGCTTTCTCAACTTCATGTAAACTGGGAGGACATACATCGATTTGCCATTCAGGATGACTGGAGATCGTGGGCAACCGAAGTGTCGCTGAAGGCCAGTTGAACTGATCCCTAAAGTGTTCTGCCCATCGGTCCAGCCTCCTAGATTGAGAATGGATAATAAGACCATCCTTTTCCGAGATAGTCTCACTCACATTCGGGTTCCTAATACCGGTTTCTTTAATAAGGCGGAAAAGTTGTCTAGTGTTGCCGATCGCCGCTGCCTTTTCCATCGCTTTTGCTTTCGCCACCCACCACTGTTCACGGTCGTTACGTAGGCTTTTTATAAGTCTGCGCCTAAGCTGACTACGCTCTTCATCATGTTCAGAGTCAGGTGGGATGCGTTTTCGAGCATCCATCAGTTCGGTGGATGCGACTGAAATCCACTGCTTCATCCTAGCATTGTGGTTTACCTTGCTAGCAGATACCATTGCTGTTTCCACAGCCTTCTTGATATGATTCCAACCTGCTTCAGGATGGGAATCACTCTCATAGCCGCCTAACTGTTTTTCTAGTTCCTCCTGAAATATTTTCTTAGCTTGATTATCATCAAGTAAAGCCCTAGGAGGCTTCCTTACGGTGTCTTTCCTACGTCCAGCAAGCCTCAAACAAATACGTGCTCGCACTAGGGCATGATCTGAATCTAAACATGTGCCCCAGAACGAGCGACAGTCCTCTATCGAACCCCTCCATCGGTGGCTGATGGCGATATGATCTAGTTGTGTCCAACGTTGAGACGACTTCGGGGGTCGCCAGGTCAAAAGGTGTTTAACCTTATGCTTAAAATTAGTGTTTGCTAGAAATAGTTGGTTATCTGAGCACAGTTGCAACAGACGGTCGCCATTGTCTGTTCTTTGAGCCGCGAGACCGTAACATCCACCTAGGTGTCTTTCATTTTCACTCAGTCTACCTACTTGTGCATTGAAGTCACCAGCCATTATAACTATATCAGAGCGCTTAACTTTTTGGAGGAGGTCCGAAAGCTTTCTGTAAAACTCATCTTTTACATCATCTGGGCTGCAGTCAGTGGGGGCGTAGGCTGATATGACGAAGAGGCAACGGCGAGTGTCCCTATCTTTCCGAGTCCTTACTGTCCCGTTCAGTCGGACGGCGCACAAGCGACTATCTACAGGGATCCAGTCAAGGAGAGATTGTTCTGCCCTACGACTCAATGCTATACCTACACCGGCGAGGCCCCTAGAAGCAGCATCAGGGCTACCGGATACACGAAGGGTAAATCGAGTTGCTTCTTTATCTTGACATGGTGAGGTCAAATGAGTGATGCTACTCGGATCCTGTATGCGCGTTTCCGAGACGCAGCACACATCGATGGAACGAGATTCTAAAGTCCTAGCTAATGATGCCTGTTGCCCTATTTGACACAATGTCCGTACATTGAATGCTCCAACATGTAGTTTGGAACGGGGTTTAAGGAGACCAGGAACGACGTTTCGCAAACTTGCATCGTTTGCATTAGCTGTGCACTGTAATAAATGAATGTGAGAAGAGTTAGTTGTGGAGATAAGAGAGGTATTAGGGAATTTAGGAAGGATTTGATTTTGAACGATTTGGTCTCGTGTGCTGTTACGGGTATGAGGGCGGTTATCACTTCCCGGCTGCCCACACCGTGGAAGGTTGTTTCTTGACGAACCTGAAAAGGAAGATGGATTAGTGTTGGTGCGTGACCGCAGAGCCCAAGGGACAACTGCTTGAGGCCGGTCACGCACGGCCTTTTTATGAAACGTTGTTTGAGGATTAGCTCCGTTCTTAAAGGCCCTTAGTGGGCACCCTTACCCGAGGAGACGGAAATCCGTGAGGTAGGGGAGGTGTGACATTTTTAGGGCCGACCTTTTCTAACCCTTCCTTCCTTGTGAGAAGGCAGCATCGCTGCAGATGCTGGTTGTCCGAGGGAAACACCTTACTGCTGTCACACCCCTCTGCAGTCAGCAGTACGACTTCGCCCTCAGACCTTGGGTAGCTGCTTTTAGTCTCATCGTTCTCCAATCGACCTGCCTGGCATGGTAGGACCTGCAGGAACATATGTTCCAGCCAGTATAGCTCGGTTGGGTCATCACGATAGGCAAGCTTCCTTAGCTAGAACTTTAGGATCTCGCGCCATCGATGTATGCTGTGTCTCAGAAACGCGCATACAGGATCCTAGTAAAATTATTAATCTGATTTCGCCTTGTCAAAACAAAGAAGCAGCCCGATTTACTCTTCGTGTATCCGGTAGCCCTGATGCTGCTTCCCGGGGTCTCGCTGGTGTAGGTATAGCATTGAGTCGTAGGGCAGAACTAGCGCTCCTAGACTGGATCTCTGTAGATAGTCGTTTGTGCCCTGTCCGACTGAATGGGACAGTAAGGACTCAGAAGGACAGCGACACCCGTCGTTGTATCTGCCTATGCCCCCACTGACTGCGGTTCAGACAAAGTGAAAGACGAGTTCTACAGAAAGCTTTCGCACCTCCTCCAAAATGTTAGGCGCTCTGATATAGTAATAATGGCTGGTGACTTTAATGCTCAAGTAGGTAGACTAAGTGAAAATGAAAAACACCTAGGTGGATGTTATGGTGTCGCATCCACTCTTTGTGTCCTATGAAATTCTAAGCTTCTGCATTCCTCATAATCTCTACCTTTCGCCTTCTAAATTCGTCTTAATGAATTATACTTATCGAATCATATCTTCGCTCCCTAATCTTCTCCATTACTGCTAATACTTCTGATATTGCTATCACTCTTTGAATTCAACTGACAGTTGCGTCTCTGTGCTGTTGGTGCATGGCAACCTGAACTGATGTACGTACGTACGAAGTTCAGCGTTGTATCTGTCTGTCTGTCTGAGTACAGAGTTTGTGTAAGGTTGATGTACTTCTTTGGTACACGTTTTGATGACATACACTGCCACAGAACCTCACGGTCGACAACTATTGTAGGACGCCTAAATGTGTGTCTGGGTTCCAGGACTTGTCGTATTGTGAAAATGTGGTCTTTGCAGCCACGTCCAGGTCGGAAACCAGCCTGGTTTTCTCTAGTCTGCTCTTCACGAGCTCTAGTTAGGCGTCTAGGGATAATTGAGGCTAACAATTTGGAAACTATATTAGTTAGACTTATTCCTCTACGACTGTCAAAAGAGGACCTTTGTCTTTTTTTGTGAATTGGAACAATCAAGGATTGAGACCAGTCGGATGGGATTACGTCCAGTTCTTAGATTCTACCTAAGATCTCAGTCAACCTAGCTGCTAAAACTGGCTCACCATCCTTAAAATTCTCAGGGGTCAATCTATCAGGACCCGCTGCTCCCCCTCGCTTTAGATTTCCTATAGCTTTTTCTACTTCATAAAGATTCAGAGGGCTTGCCGTTCGGGATGACTGGAAATTGTGTCTCTGAAGGCCAGTTGAACTGATCCTCAAAGTAATCAGCCCATCTATCCAATCTCCTGGATTGAGAATGAATCATAAGCCCATCCTTTCCCGAGATAGTTCCACTCACATTCGGATTCCTGATACCGGTTTTCTTGATAACGCGGAACAGCTATCTGCTGTTGCCTATTGCAGCTGCCTTTTCCATTGCTCTTGCTCTCTCTACCCACCACTGCTCGCGATCATTGTGTAGGCTCTTATCAGCCTACGCTTAAGCTGACTTCGCACTTCATCATGTTCAGAGCCAGGTGGGATGAGTTTCCGATCGTCTATCAGTTCAGTTGATGCTGCTGAGACCCACAGCTTCTTCCTAGCCATATGGGTTACCTTACTAGCAGATATTACTGCTGTTTCAACAGCCTTTTTTGTAAATTCGTACAATCGAGGATTGAGACTAGTCAGATGGGATTACGTCCAGTTCCCAGAATCTACTCAGGATCTCAGTCAATCTTGCTACTAAAACTGGCCCACCATCCTTAGAAAACTCATGGGTGAGCAGATGTCACCACTGTTTCCACAGCCTCTCTGATATCATTCCAAGCTGTCTCCGGATTGCAATCAGTTACATGGTCGCCTAACTGTCTTTCTAGTTGCTCCCGAAATATATTCGTAGCTACGCTGTCATTAAGTGAACCCTAACAGGTTTCCTTGCAGTGCCTTTCCTACGTCCGGTAAATCGCAAACAAATACTTGCTCGCACTAAAGCATGATCTGAATCTCGACATGTTCCCAAGAACGAGCGACAGTCCTCTATCGAACCCCTCCATCGGTGGCTGATGGTGATGTGATCTAGTTGGGTCCAATGTTGAGACGACTTTGGGGGTCGCCAGGTCAAAAGATATCTAAGCACGGTTGCAACAGACGGTGGCCATTGTCTGCTCTCTGAGTTGCGACACCATAAGATCCACCCAGGTGTCTTTCGTATTCATTTAGTCTACCTACTTGAGCATTGAAGTCACCAGCCATTATTACTACATCAGAGCGCTCTACTTTCTGGAGGAGATACGAAAGCTTTCTGTAAAACTCATCTTTCAGCTCGCCTGTCTGTCCGAGTCCTTACTGTCCCATTCAGTAGGACAGCGCACCTTTCGCACTGTGTGTCCTATCCACTTGCACCGCTTCTTCCTTATCTTCACTGGAATCCGGTTTGTTCTCTCAATCTACGTTTCATTTTAATTCCTTTTCTTTAGTATTATTTCTAACTCAGTGAACGCTTTTTCTTCTATTATAACCAATCATGTTTCCTTATGTTTCATCATAAAAAGGCATTGGTTGCATAGAAAGTATACAAATCAAATTAGAATACTTGTAAATGTCGTGTCACATCTCAACAAAATTTTAGTCTCGTGGTCTGTTGTTCGTTATGCAATTGCTTGATGGATACAGATTTGAATGTATTATGTATCATACAACAGGCTTGTTGCTTCTGTTTGACTGGAAATTTTAATTCCATTAAAAAGCGTATACGGATATCTAAGGCTGGTGCAAACAGGTTTTTAAGCTTCGCAATTCTAACTGATACACAAAGAAGCCCAAATGGAACTACATATAACTAACCTGAAGACGCAACGCCTCAATAGTTGCCTCCATGTGTGTACGTGCTTCAATCGGTAGCGAGTTTCCTAATTCTATGCACTCTTCATGCCAGCGAGTTTTCATATCATTCCACGCCTTTTCTTGTTTATGAAGAGAAACCTCTGCTAAGCGTGCTCTAGTACGCTCTTTTGCTATAGCTTCCTTCAATATCTACAAAGGAAAAGCAAATAAGTGATGTATACAGTCATCCTCTGCAAAATTTTTCCAATAAGCTTAAGACGACGATAGTAGGGATAACTTATAAAATCATGATTAAAAACCCAAAATCATATTGCAAACAGTATATTAATTAGGGCTCACCTTTCTGCTACCTCATGCTCATTACACATTAGCTTTCTGACTAGTTAAACAAACAAAGCCCTGGGATAATCTTATTTATAAGGTTTTGTGATAGTTGAATTTCGTAATTGTATATCAACAAGTGATCTTAGGAAACTACTGGGAACCTGGAGGCAATGAACGCCCGTTTCTCCTTAACAGTATGCAACTCAGTAGTGCTCGCCCACAATCCCTCTGGAAATCTAACGTGGGACTTTCAGATCCTGCTGAGAACACTTCATCACTGATTCGTTATCCAATGGATAATTTCAATCACTTCTCAGTAAGAAGGTTTTAGGTTCGATCGTACCTTACGAGAACCAAATAACTATTCATTGCTTCTCGGTTTTCACTTAATTTTAAGATTAGTCCGTGATGTAAACTATGAAGTCCTGTGTGTAACATTGGGATTAAGTCACCTCAGTTGTTTGACCACGTTTGGTAGTATTACTTCATGCTACAAGATTCATTTCTGAGGTATGTACTAAATAAATCTCAGTTCAGCGTACGTTGAATGCTTGAGCCTGCTTAACATTTTTCTTTTCTTTACATCTTTCTAGCTTTATAAGTTGAGAAAACATTCGTTATTCTTCAGTCACTACAGTGTTAGTGCCTATCTATGCTGTTTTTTAAAGATAAACTTAGTGAATTTCACCATGGAACAGTTAAAAGTGTGCGTGCTACTGCTTATGAAGTAATATTTATATATCAATGATAAATGCTTACCAATACTTCTTGCTGTTGTTTAGTTTTCATTTGCTCAATTTCACTTTGAAATGATTTGGATAATGCTTCGTGTATGCTTTTTCTTTCTTGTAAAGCCCTTTGTAATATCATGTCTAGATCACTTATTTTTAATTGACTTTCATTCAATCGCTTTATAAAGGAAATCATACAAAATTATTGTCGACTGATAATTGCATATTATAATTGCATCCTTAATTTGTAGTTGCAGTAGACTCATTCACCAGGCATTTGAGTACGAGTTACAATCTAAGTGTTTGATTACCGGACTTAGTTGGCTAAGTCGAATGCCTTAAGCACTAGGGCATCACCCCACGATCACATTTTTGACACATGCTATTTTTCTTACTGCTTTAAAACTGATAATCTGATGGTCACTCACTTAATGCTGTGGGAAATTCGTTAATTTGAAGATCGTTCACATGAAATACCGTGAATCAACCTGAAACTAAAAGTTCTTATTAAAGATTATTGGAACTGTGATGTATTAGCACAGTACATTTCGAGCAATCTACTCACATATAGTTGCTAGGAATATTTGCGTTTGAAAACAAAATTTTAAGTAGATAAATGTAGTGTAATGAACGAAGATGTCGAGACTAGATGCAATAAATGACTTACTTAAAGAAGACACAGATTACTAGAAAGATGTGCATGTCTTATCTTCAGACTTTCATTTCCAAAAACAAGCAGATTCATGGCTACTACCACGGTAGGTTTGGGGTGAGAACAAACTGCTTGTGAATAAATAAGCAAGGCTTAAACTTTCGTATGACCATGGCCTCATTAAACCTTAGTACACGCCCTTAAACATCACAAAAGCGAAATTAAGATCAATCTTCTGACCCAACTCAACTATGTGTTCGGCAACACAGAACGATGTATGTTTATCATCTCGTAATAGGTTATTTGATTTCACTTTTTTCTGCGGAAACTTATTGCCTGTATATATCACATAGTTTTGATAACCTTCACTTGATTACACTATCCAAACATTAATCTCAGGCATTTTTACAGCATAGTTAGTTTGGGCATCTCAATGGTCACATCATGATTACTGAACTTAAATATCTATGAAGGATCCATTTTGTCTACAGATAAAAAGATTTGGTTTAAACGACAGAACACCTTGAAAAATTTGAATTTGGGAAATGTTCCAGTTCTTAAACATTTAAGTTCTGTCAATCCTTCTCAAGACCTTATGACCGTCTGTCTGTTTCTTTGAATTACGAATGTAACATGTACTGGTGCTGTACGAGCAACCTTTTACCAAGCTACGTATGCCTAACGACCGACTGCCTCGTCGAGCTATATTTTGCGGTGTAGAAATAGGTCGGACAAAAGCTAAGAGCGGCCAGTCTTAAACACGACATGAAGTCACTGACAAGTGGACTAAGTCATGTCGGTAGGTGTCGAATACCTGGTTGGGGTCCGCGGGATGGTAGCAATCGATGGTTAGAGACCCTGAATGACATAGCTCAGAATCGTTTGCAATGGCGCAGGTGCATTTACTCTTTGTGTTCTCTCAAATCCTAACCTTCTTACTTCCTCATTACTTTTTCTTCCTAATTTTTTTCACAAACCCTAATCTCTCTGATTACTGCTAATACCCTTACTACCTCTACTACTATTGGATTAGAATTTACAATTACATCTCTGTGCTAATGTGGTATGGTAACTTGAACTGATGTACGTTCGCACGTACGAAGTTCTACGTTTCTGTTGATTGAAGCTTACGTGATGACTCCAAAACCAAACGTTTTGATATGTACAATGGGACGAACAATGCATGTGAGATATCGAAAACTATACATACTTTATTGGCTTCCTTTAATCGAGTTTTATATTCTCTTTCCATCTCTATCAATTTTTCGTCAGCCTTCAATGAAAAAAAACATGACTTTAATGAATAGTAATTTTTACCAGTGAATGACTATTAAATAACAGCTAAAATAAGTGATTTCGCTTCTCTTCTTGTATGCTACACTAAACTAGTTTTTTTCAGCAAATCATTTTATTCCCTATTATAAAAGCATACAATCTATGATAATACTGACTTAGATCAACGTACCTGAGAAGATATCGTTTTCAATTCTTCTGCGTGTTGTTGGTGTAATCTTAGAATAGCTTCTTTATTCTTAGACTGTTCTTCACTTAAAGTACTTTCGTGTCTAGCAATTAGTTCTTTACGTTCTAATTCACGTGCTAAACTAATTTCTGATAATTGTTCACGTCTTAATTCCACTTCTGTCAATGCTATACGTCTAGCTTCTTTAAGTTCAGCTTCAAGCTTTATGATATCTGACTTAGACAAATTCAATGCACCAGTCAATGTTTCGATAACTTGGTTTTTTTCGTTTTGCACCTGGAAATTTCATTTTGAAAAGTGTGCAATTTTAATGAACAATGTGTGATTAAATTATAAACATTTGCCAACAAATGGATTGGATTCAACTATTCTCATTTGTTTAGTTTGACATTTTTGTATGAACATGGGTGATTTACTGAAGATAAAGAAATCATGAGTTTGGCAGGATTTGAACCAGAAGGACTCTCACTTTCTCAATTGCAGAAATCTTAAGTCGAAATGACCAATTTACAAATCAACAATAAATAATGTTCTAACTAACGTAACCAATAGTCAGCGTGATATTAGTACGTCTAATAAGTCCATCGACGAGGAATTACCGCCTTAATTTTACAATTTCAGAATTCCCCTGTGCTAAATATAACAAATATACTTTGCTTTTATCTGAAACTCACTCTGAAAACCAACTTTTTCCAGTTAGAATATTTTAGTTTAAAAAATTTTCAGCACTATGTATAGACTAGTTTTTACGACCAATATGTGTACCGGTCACTTGTCCAAGTGTCGAAAAATTTGGTAAATGAATGTTTGTTCCGAAACATACGTATTAAGTATCAGTCAATCAATTACAACGTAGAACTTCGTACGTACGTACGTTCAAGTTTCCATACCACATTAGCAGACACCATCTGTTCAAGTCCCATGTGGTGGAGATAGTGGAAGAATTACTGGTAATGGAGAATATTAGGGATCGAAGATATTATTCAAGAAGTATAGTTCAGTGAGATAACTCTAGTAAAAAATAGAGATGATGGATTCTGAAGACTAGAATTTGAGAGAACTCAATGAGTTGATGCATCTGAGCCAATGCAAACGATTTTGAGCCATGTCGTTTAAGGTCTCTGACCATCGGTGACTTTCATCTCGAGGGCCCAAACCAGTAGCCTACATCTACCAACATGACTCAGTCCACTTGTCAGTGACCACGGATTTGTGCCATCCTACACCACAAATCATCGCTCGTCGAGGCAGTTGGTGCTAGGGCATATGTAACTCACGTCCCAAACACCACAACTGATGAAGTCTCAGTACTTCATCTATTGGTCTGCCATTCCTGCTTAGTACTCGTTTCATATCGCCAGCATTGCGTGCTTGGCTGTCCCAGGATATACGAGAAATGCTTCGAAGACATCTGTGGTCTAATACTAATAACCTATAAATGTTTTCAACTTTTACCGGCCATTTTTCGCAGTCATAAAGTAGGACAGCGAACTGCTGCGCAGTACACTCGTCATTTAGTCAGCAAACGGATATCTCGCCTGCGCCATAAGTGAAGCAACTTGGCAAAAGTTAATCGAGCCTTAATTATCCGTGCTGAGTTTTCGTCAGTCACCAGGCCATCAGGTACCGATGCAACCCAGTCTTGAAGCAACATTTTTCATTTCTAGGGGTAGAACCGAATCCTAGACATGCTTGCATTGTTATTTAAGGTAGTCAAAAGACTGCTTTTTGTCAGGTCTTCATCATGTAAGACTATGACATCAGCATACTCTACGTCAGCGTGTCTCCTGGTAGAAGGTCCACTCCTGAAAATTCGGACGATGTCGTTATATCTAGAAGCATGTCTACGACAAAATTAAACAAGAATGAAGAGAGTGAACATCGCTGATTGACACCACTTGAAGTAAAGAATTCCAATGACAGTTCGCCATAAGCTCTAACTCAGCCAATGGTGTTCGAGTAGAGAGCCTGTATAAGGTTAATGTACTTCTTTGGTAAACCTTTTGATGAACGACACTGCCACAGCTTGTTGCCCTATTTGACACAATTTTCGGACAATAAATGCTCCAACATGTGGTGTAGAACGGCGCTTTGAGAGCCTAGGAATGACGTTTCGTGTACTCGCATTGTTTGCATTAGCGGTGCAGTGTGATAAAGGAATATGAGAAGATAAATGTTAGGGGGTGTAGGACGGGTTTGATTGTGACCAATTTGGTCTCGTGTGCTGTTACGGTTATGAGGGTGAATGTCACTTCCCGGCCGCCCACACCGTGATAGGTTATCAGAGCTCATACTTCGGTAGGCTGTATTTTTAAGAAACTCATTCTGCTCAGTAAAACTTATCCGATGTATCCAAGTTTTATCATTATTACAAATATATGTTGTCCACTAAGTCAAACCCATCTTATAATAAATCGTAAATATAATTCACCTCCTTGATGAAAGTTATCGTTTCCTAAGTTTTTGCTGGTGCAGACCACGATTAATATTTCGGTGACTGTGGGTTTGAATTTTTTAGTAGCTTAAATTGTTATCTCAGTAAGCAAACAACAGTCTCTCATTTTGGAAAACTAAACAATCCAGGTACTAATTAATTCATCTCACCTAATAGTTAGTTCTGTGGCATTGGTTTGAAACTGCAATGTCCAAAGTTTATCAGAACTTATTTTAAATATTTTTGGAAACAGGGCCAAAAGACTCGTAGTCATATCTACAGTTTATTCATAAACATAATTAGATGATTTGATCAATTTAATCGTTTAACTTCGGTACAGTTTATATACGCTACTAATGTATATTTCATACGTTTTGAATATCAGTTACTTGGAATCACTATTAATTTGTTGAACTGACTCGATCTAACCGGACCTCAGTAAATCTATACTAAATACTATAAATTCTGTTCTTTGTCCTGATACGGATGATAGATATTTCTATGTCGTTTACTTTTCTCAACTGTTTTATTGCTTTATATGAAAATGGACTACAGTAATGTTATAAACTTGTTTTCAGATATGGTGGAGAAAATTTGTAGCTCAGGTGGATGATTGTGGTGGTGTTTCGTTCTCTGAGCTGGATATTGTTTTCAGATAGTTAATTGATTACTATGTCAATCTGGAAATATCAAACATCATGAAATCAGACAGTTTGAATCAAAAATCAATTGAACAAAACAATCTAACATCATAACACAATATACTGAATCGATGGTTTCGCTTACACTCTCAAGCTTCAATGATAACTCACTACGTATGGTAGCTTCCTTTTCTTTGAACGAATTTTCTAAACGATTTAACTCTTCTTGTTTTGCTAATGTAACTGCCTCTTGTACTTGTTGATACTTCCACTGTGTAATTTGGTTCAGTAGTTTTTCACCTATTGTATCTATGATAGGACTAATTTCATTTGCAAATTGTGTGTGGTTTTGAGTTGTTCCATTTAATGAATTATAAGTTGAATTATGCTCTAATTGTTGTTCGTCTTGTAATTTTGTTATAGTAGTTAACAAATGATTTTCTTTGTCCTCATACGTATCTCTGATTTCTTTAATTCTTTTATTTAATCTGGTGATCTCACTCTTTAATTGACTGATAATTTCTTGATATTTAATCTAAACCGATTTAAAATTAAAAAAATAAACTAAACATAAAAATCTATTTTTATAGACTTTATTCATCATCTATAATAGTATATTATTCAAAATGTGTTTATATAATTCTAATTATTTTTCTAGTTTTTTTAGAAACAGTCATCCACACACTTTTCCCGGGAAAATCTGTATTTCAAGAAATAGAACGATTGTTTTTTAAAAATAATAATGATGTCACAGAGAAAATTAGAACAACACATATAAGCGAACAATATTGTTTTCGATGACGATCTAATCGAAAACAATATTGTCCGCTTATATGTGTTGTTCTAATTTTCACAATGGGAATCTTTAAAAAAACACAGAAAATTGACAGGAAGTTAAATAATGCATCACCCAGAACTTATCATTCATTCAACTTGTTAAATAAGGTGATTAGAGGCTGGCAGATAACCTCTTCGTTTTTCCCATCACAGTTACTGACTTGACCTCGAGCCTAGGATTGTTTGGTTTTTCTTTATCCAATCGAGTTTTATTGATCAAACCAGATTGTTATTTAGGTCATACCGTATCATGTAGATTGGTTTTGTTCACACCCAGAGTCTTATCGATTGACATAGTGAGAATGTTTCCCGCCGATAATTCGAATCTCTATGGCTTCTGTCACTCTACAGCCACAGAGTGTAGTAGTATTTCCAGATTTCCCGAAGCTTTAGCTATCAAGCGCTTGAAATAAAATTTGTGTATTCCAAAGTTTCTCAGTTCTGTCCATTTTTTACCCCGGTCACATAACACTTATTTGAAATCATTTTCAAATCATTGTTTTCATTTGACTAAGTTCTTTTACATAATTTTATTAAATAAACAACAAAACTGAACTTATCTTCAAATATCAATGATCTCTGTTTAACTATTTCCCTGTGTAATCAGCTTTATGCTTTTGTGTTCCCATCTTTGTCAATGTTCCAAAACCTATACGCATAACCAAATAAATTTATTTGGCAAATTCTATAAAAATTGAAAGTAATAATTGTGAAGTCATGGTGCTGGTTGATAAAGAAGTGTCAGTCTTTCATAGTGTATAAAATATCAATAACAATTAAAGACTGCTTGTGATTTTTTTATCGTAGTACTATCAAGCGTCAAAAACCTTTTGATTAGAAAATAACCAAAAATTAACAGAAAGTTGATTAAGAACTTTAATTGGCAATTTAAAAACCTAAATTTCAACTGATACATAAGCCAGTAGTGGTTAAAGTCTTATCAATGAAAAATCACTAAATGTATTAAACAATTGGAGGTTGGGGACTATCACTCCAAAAAATGACATCTTATGACTAAGTATTATGAGTGCGAATTTCACTGAACCCTATTAAAAAAAACAAAATTGTGATACTTGTTTAGATGTATCAAACACATTTCTATAATTTATTTGAAGTTTATCTTTTAAAAAACAGTTTACTTCATCCTTTGAATTTGATTCCTTGGTCTCTTTAATAACTTGTTGTAAAACTGAAATCTCAGCATTCTTAATTGACAAACACTTTTCATAACCACGTGTTTCGGCTTCCTTAACTTCTGTGACTAGCTGACGTTTACACGATAGACGACTTTCCTCCAGTTTGGTACTAAACTTGAAGAGAGGACGGATAAAAATAACTTCATTAGAATTTGCCTAATCTGAATGTTATATAATCAATAAAAGTTTGCTGTTGATATTCAATAAAACCTCTAAAAACTATAAAAAAAAATCGATAAAACGGCAATAATTATTTTCTGATGCACCTCGATAATCTTTTGTTTTAACTAACAAACAGTACTCTGTATGTATCTATATGTTTTGAAAATTAACTGTTAACTGTAATTAGACCAATCCATAAAATAAAGTCACCCGGTCAATAAGCACTATCATTATTTGCTTTCTTATGCTTTTCTGACTAAATATGGTCAGTCCTATTTGACAGCTAATTTTTTTATTCTTAGAAATTACAATGGAAATTGTAGCCAGTATACCCGCACTGGTAATTAAAGAATCATCATAATTTTAAAAATCAATCACTATGAAATCCGCCATCATACTGAGTAGTATTGCAAATGTCTTATTTTATTAACAAAAATAAAACAGTAACGTGTGATACGAAATAAGGTATTTTAAGACTTATAAATACCTAGGTACATCTAGAAAACGTAGATACTGTTGACGGCTAACGAATGTATAATTGGGATCTATCATCAACGAACACACTCATACATTTTCGGACAAATGGTGGCTGGAAAATATCCTCATTCTTTTCCCGATAAAAACCAACTTTATTTTAACTGAGCTGTTTCTGGATACCAATGACTGAGTGATAAGCACACTCTCAAGGTTCTTTCTTGTTAGCTATAGTCAAGAAGACCAATGAAGGCACTACAGACTAAGTGCTTCAGCATTAAGGTGTACTATATTTATGGATACAATTTTAAATACATACGTGAAAGGGTTAATTTTTTTATGACTAAAACATACTACTATATTTTTGTCAATTAATAACTTCAGCTACATTTCTGAATGAATGTATTCACTAACGCAGCTAATTAATTATACTGCTGTCCATCAAATATATGGTCTGCGATCCAAAAAAAACCTTATTTTACAAACTTTAGTGCTCATCAGTTTATTCCCTTCAAAAATATTCGCCGTTTATGACAACACACTTGTCCACTTTCCGCTTCTCTTCTTCAAAACATCAATGGAGGTCCTCATAGTTCTAGTTCTCCCCCTGCCCCTTTGTTTTACATTGTGCCCAGATTGCTTACATAGACAGTCTTCCAAAAATCAGTTCATCAGTCACTGTTTGGGGATCGAATCAATAATTGGAAATAATAAGAAACTCCCACACAAACGATTTTATCACCGCAGGAGTGTGATAGTTGCTCTGACCTTTTGTTATCTTTATTATCCTCACTAAAACCAACGATCTGCCTAACCTATCAAACGTATTATCTCCATAAATTGGACTCCGCTGCATACATTTCCTTGAGTTTTTTCTTATGCTTCACTTAGAAGCTTAATAGTAGCCCACTTCGAGAATTTAAAGGATAGATGATTATGTATATAAACCTTAAATAATTAAAATGATCTGTCCATAATACCTCATCTTTAATTGTTTCCATATTAGTTTTATACTGTTGTTCTTTATTCGTTTGTTCTAATTCCATGGTACATATACGTTTAGCGTGCTCAGAACGAATTTGTTTTAACTCTTGGTTGTGATCTTCAAGGCATGCATTATACTTTGACTCTAATGTTTGATATCTGCATAAAAATAGGAATGAAAAAACAAGTACGAAATGAAGTGTCATTAAATAATAATTTTCTTCTTGGAATCCTAACTTCAGGAAAAAACTCACAAGAACTGGAGGGATGCTTTTAGATAGTTTTCTATCCCCAACTAGCATACATTGGTTAATATATATGGAGCAGAATACACCAGCTTTGGGTTACATTGTAGACGAATCACCCGAATTAGGATGAAACAAACAAACATCACTTGTTTAGTCTTTTAAGTGACATCAAGCTCTGATAGTACTAATCATTACTGTTCATAGATCAGATGAACAACTTATTCGTCTCTTTAATTATTCTTTACTTACAGTGAAAATAATACCTACAAATGCTTTACTGTTTTAACAACCAAATAGATATTCATTGGACATCATTTCTATCAGGTAGCTGTTTCTAATAGTTTGATAAGTTCATTTGAATAATAGCTCAGCATTAGTTGTTTGTGTTTTTAATTAGTATGAACTATATTACGATGGTATTATCAGTATAAAGTTATGTGGAAATCATCAGATATTATTGACATTACGAATCGACCTAAGTCAGACATCCACTATAAACTAAAAAGCACTGAACAGCCGTTTTTTTCTGTTCATGATCTAGAACTTCGGAATTCGCGCACGAAGCTGAAGGTCCTGAGTTTGACCTCTGATAGTGAAGTGGTTAATGCGTATTACCGAGGAGTTCGATACAACGGATGAGACAACAGTTCAGTACTTCCTGATTTAAAATGGATGTCCAACTTGTCTTGGTTTGTGACATCGATAGTAATATCGTCTGTCAAAAAAGCCAAGTACACTGGTGTGCAAGAACACGACAAAAAACATTTCTAATTAGGTTTCACTTGGAGGATTTAGACGATTCGGATATAACTTCCGTCACAGACCAACATCATTGAGTGACTAAGTAAAACCAATAAAAAATTGGTCAGCAGCATCTTGAACAACCAAGACTCCTAAATTGTATGTCCTCGTGAATCCACGAAAGATTCAGTGTACGAATTTTAAAGTTCACAATAACATATAGTCACCCACAAATCAGGTGTTCAAACTTCTGAATTCTTCACTTTCACAGGCATAGTGCAATCTTCACTATCAGTAGTTGATAGATGCGTCACGCTAAATATGGTTAACTCAACAGATCATATTTTGATGAATTTTCCGAGAAATTCATTTTACATCTTATTAAAAATCATAAATGATTAGTGTAATCGTATTAATTACATTTTCGTAGTTAATTTTTTTTTAAACTGTCGCACAGTTTTCAAAAACATGAAGAGATCGACTGTACAAGTATCTGTACCGTGTTTAGAAAAACCTGTGAGGAGTTTCATCTGGCCAAATATTATCTAAAACTTATATCAACACTCTATATTATGGATGCTAACATTCGGATATAACACTGTGCTAACAGAACGAAATTCATTTACGGTACACAGTGGAAATTACTTTCATATTCTAAAAGATTATAATTGATGAGTGATTTATTATGTTTGCAAATTCATTAAAGTAAGTGGTTTATGGACACTGTTCACAATTTGAAGTTACTTTACAACACAGACAAACAGTAGATAGAGAGTCAATGGAAACTACTAAAATGAAATAGTTGTCACCGACTGATATCTACAGGAGTCAGATTATTTCATAAAATAAATAAAAGTGAATATGTTAATTATTGGGTTTCATCACGTGTTTACCTCTAAACCTAGAAACTCTTGTTTCAATCTTTGATGGAAATGTAGATACTTATTACTAAATAGTTACAATGTAGGATTTAGTAACTGTTCAATGTGTCCTGCTCTTTATTCAATACGTGGATAACTACATGTGATACAAAAGTAGCTATCAATTGTTAGCCAATGTGAGTTATGATATAGGACAGTTAGCAATAAAAAAACAACATACCAATCGTAAAACGTCTAACTCATGTATGTAATGCAAATCTAAAAAATTTTGCCTTGATTTAAAGTTTATTAAAATCTTATCAATTCAAGTATTGAAACGAAATCTCCTGAAACTATCCTCAATGTGTAATGTGATAAAAACGCTGTAATAAATACTACTACAAAGGAAAGAATGCATTTGTTCTACTGATTTATTGATTTATTTACCTACCTATCTGTTAGTTCATTTATATCACATTGGAGTTGTTTCAGTTTCTTTGATGCTTCCTTCTCCTTTTCACCTTTAATCTTTAATGAGTCTTCTATTTCATTTTTTTCAATTAGAACGTTTGTTAATTGTTCTTCTAAACTTTTAATTTGATTATGCTTTTTTTAATAAAGTTTAAAAAAATAAAACTATAGATAAGTGAAATTGTAACTTCTATATGTGTGTAATTCTCAGTAAATTCTTTACTGTGAGTGAAAATAAATCAGTGAATTAAATATCCGAAATACTTGGAGAACCACATTGAAAAGTTTATAAATCTAAGCACTTTCCTATTCAACTTTCTCCGGACATTTAGCATAAACTCTGCCCTGGCAGTTGGAAGGTTTTCAGTTAGAAAAGTTATGATGCCTCATGATGAAAGCTGAGTACCTTCAGGAGGTCATGAGGCCAGTGCACCTTATCAAAACCACACCAACAATCAATATACCTACATGGAATGTTCGTACAATGTGGGAGACGGGAAGAGTGTTCCGAGTTGCTGCAGAAATGAAAAGTTATACCCTATTACTACGTGGAATTAGAGAAATATATTGGATGCACACTGGACAAAAAAGACTAGCTTCATGACAGTTGCTGTTATACTCTAACCATGAAGAAAATTTCTCACATACACAATAAGTTGCACTGATGCTGTGCAAACAAGCACAAAAAGCACTTATACGGTGAGAATCTCATGGAACCAGGATCATCAAATCATGCTTCAAAGCAAAGAAAAATGGGATGACAATGGACGTCATCCAGTGCTATTCGCCTACCAACGAAAATAATCAGGACGTCAAAGATCGATTCTATGAGAGGCTATAGTCAACCAAAAAGAAATGTTCAGCAAACGATTTAATCGTTCCGCCAGGAGACCTTAACACCGAGGTTGGAATGGACAGTACTGGATATGAAGACATCACGGGACGTCATGAACTGGGAGAAAGGAAAGAAAAAGGTGGGAGATTTGCATACCTATGTGTCTTCAACAAACTGGTTATAGGCGGCACCATATTACCACATAAACGCATACACAAAGCTACATGGATTTCACCCGATCATACCACACAGAACCAAATCGACCATTTCTGAATCAATAAAAAGTTCAGAACGACGATGGAGGACGTGAGAACCAAGAGAGGAGCTGATCTAACCTCATGTCATCACTTATTGGTAGCCAAAATGAACATAAAACTAAAGAAGCACTGGACGACGGGGGGAACAGCATCACGAAAGTTTAATACTGTCTTTTTTCGGGATACTGATAAAGTCACAGAATTCAAGATAGCCATCAGCAATAGGTTCCACAATGTTCACGATATACTCAAAGGAGAGGGAAACACCATGAAGAATATCTGGAAAAAGACCAAGGAAGCAATAACTTCAATATATGAGGTTCTGAGGTACAAGAAGCACGATCATAAGTAACAGATCACTGATGATAATCTGAATAAGATTCGAGAAAAGAAGAACAGGAAGGCAACAACCAATATCAGCCGAACAAAGGCAGAGGAAGCAAAGGCAAACGCCAAATATACAAAAGCAAACAAGCAAGTGAAAAGGAGCATCACAGCTAACAAATGAAAATATACAGAGGATCTATCAGTGATGACAGGAAAGGCTGTAAGTGATGGAAACATGACACAATTGCATGATACAACGAAGAAGCCCGCTCGAAAATACAGCAAGCCACAACGACCAGTCAAGAACAAGGAATAAAAACCAGTCACCGACATTCAAAAACAATGAAACAGGTGGGTAGAGCACTTTCAAGAACTCTTCAATAGGCCAACCTCACTGAACCCACTCAACATTGAAGCAACACCAACGGACCTCCCAATTGGTTTTCACCCACCAACAATCCAACTGATCAGAATGGCTACCTCACAAATCAATGGTAAAACAGAACGACCAGATAACATACCAGCTGATGCATTCAGAGCAGACATAACACTAATCACAAAGATGTTGCACGTTCGCCTCACCAAGGTTTGAGAAGAACGACAAGTATCTACAGACTAGTAAGAAGGACAGCTCATCAAGATACCAAAGAAAGGCGATTTCACCAGGTGTGAGAACCACAAAGGCATCGCTCTTCTCTCAATACCAGGAAAAATCATCGACAGAGCACTGACTATGAGAAAGCATTTGATAGCGTGGACAGGACAACACTGTGGAGGCTTCTTCGACATTATGGCTGGATTCAACTGTAAAATCGTGCACAGAGTACAGCTAACAGACTCGTTCGAGGTGAATACTGGTGTCAGACAAGGTTGCTTACTCTCACTCTTTATGGGGTGGTAACCCGGAGAACTACGAATGTTATCATCCACAAGATACAAGTGTTTATTAGCAGTTGTGTACGCAAGATACTAAGGATTTCTTTGCCAGACACCATCAACAACAACCTACTTTGGGAGAGAACAGACCAGATTACTGCGGAGGAAGAAGTGCCGGAGGTGGATCAGAGACACATTATGGACATCGCCCAACTGCGTCAGGAGACGAGCACTAAATTGAAGTCCTCAAGACAAAAGTAAAAGATGAATACCAGAAAACACATTACGCTGGGAAAAGGAGAGAGACATGAAAAGAATGAACTAATGGGATAGAATTGGAAAAGAAGGCCTAGGACAGAGTAGGTTGGAATATGCTGGCGTTTCAATATGGTTGGAATGTTTCAAATATTTAGAAGTGTGTTAATAACTAAAATGGCCATTCATATAACTTTTGCTTACTTGTAATTCCAGTTTTGATTCTAGTTCTTTAACAAGGGATTTATTTATTTCCAGTTCCTTTAAAGTAGATTTGTTTTTGGATTGTAAGCCTTTCAATGTCTTTTCATGTTCTTGAATAAGAAATTCACGTTGTTCGTTGGATTGTTTCAAAAGATTTTCAAATTGTTTATTCATCATTACTTGTAACTGATTCACCTGAGGAGAGTGAAATTTGTGTGACTAATATACTATTTTAATCGTATATCTGTACATAAACCATATACAACCATCCTCCATATGAATGTTAGGACTTGCAACAATCAGGTTAGAATAAGTTTTCAATGACACTTGATCGTTGTGACCAAAAATTTTCCAAGTATTTCACTTTTAATTACATAAAGGATAATAAGAAATTTTTTCACGTTTGTAAATAGTGTATGTCCATTTCATAGGTTGATATTAATTCTTAAAATTTATCCATAATAACAACAAAGTCAATTATCAGTATATATATTGTGCGGAGATCTAACATGGATAGGTTTGTGATTTCAATGAAATTAAATCAACTACCATCTATCTAAATATTTTGGAGAAATGTTGTTTGACTTCACTCCTTGTTACTCAAAAAAGCTAATGATCTGAACCAGTGTAATTTGATAAATAAATTTTCAAAGAAGATGGTCTTTATCAAGTAACAGGTTATCAAATTTATTTAATCAATCCGAGCTAATCAACCATTAATTATCAAGCAGTCAAAATTCTTCACTATAAAAAAGTTTTATATTTTAAAGCTTTAGTTATTGTACTACTAAACAATAACTGATTGCTATAGTGTCACAGTAAAATATATGATGTCCGTTAACAGCCTGTACAATCATAACAATATGTAAAGAGAAGTCAGCAATGAACCATGTTCAATTATCTACAGACAATATACCTATTGCTGAATGGAATCACTCAATCTCACGTAACTTACATGTAATCTCATGTCACAAGTTTTTTATAGTTAAAAAATTTATTTGGTGTTGTAAAAAAGATAAAAGTAGAAATCAGATGTTCAAGTTCCAATCCGATTTTGAGATGTGATTCTTTATAAAGTGAAGAATCGCTAAAAATCAGGGAGCAATGAACAGTTTCTTGCACCAAATTCAAACTCCTTAGAAGTTAAAACAAATAATTTCAATGACTATCACACCTTCGATTTTCAGGTTTCGCAATAATTATTTTGATTGTTCGCAACAATTTAAAGTTAACATTAAATAACCTATTTTATGTATTTACTTTTTCCTCAGAGTTATGTTTAATTTGATCAGCATTGTTGACCGTGTCGGATAATTGATTTTCTAGCTTATCTATTGCCTGACGAAGTTCACGATGTTTCAGTTCAGCAGCCTTTTGTACAGCGATTAATTCAGCATTTTTACGGTTCATAATTTTTGTTACTTCAACTTCATTTTCTTTTCTAAGTTCAATTAAACGTTCATAAAATTCTGCTTCTATTGCTTGTGTTCTTTGTAACATCTTTCAGAAAAAATAAAAAAATACTTCATTAAGTTTTATAGTAAATTCAACGTTTTTAGCGAAAGGTGAAAATGCAAGACATGGTAATGTAATAGTTATTTCCCGGTAAATCAGTATGTTTTGATGATAAACTATATTGTATTCATAGTAAACCATCTTTTGACATAATCATTCGCCTTATTTCTTTAGTCGTTCATAAATTATGATCATTCATTGTGTCGAAATTGTTTTTATTTATTTATTGGAATTTATAAATTTTAACCTAGTTTCAATTTTTCATTTTCCGTATGCAATCATAAAAGTGCTTTTGACAACTCATTTGGGCTCTTGATATTTTAATTTAAAGTGTGAAAAAATAGGTCTTATGATCTGTGGATTTTATACGAAACAATTTAAGACCAAATAGGGAAGCCTTTATGTAAAGAATAACCAGATTCTCATGGTTTCCAAAACAGACTATCTACTTTTTCATTCTTATCAAATTCTAGTGCTTTACATAATAATAATATAATACAAAGTAAGCTTAGCACTGATCAAAATACCTGTTGTTATGGTTCTAATAGATATTATTATAAAATACTTTTAACCTTTTATTAACAAATTCTCTTTTCTAATTCTTTAATTTCCTATTATGAGTAATAAACACTACGAACCTTACACTTGTAAATCAACTCTACATTCTAAATTAGGTTTGATATTATGAACTTATTATAAAAAAAAACTGATTTAGTCCCTGCATTCAACAATAGTCAGTTGTCATGAAAATTATGAAGATGTTTTTCGTATTTCTGCTTTTATGTTATCATGACACACCCAAATCCATTTAAAAGTGCCCTAAGGTCAATTAACAGTCTATCGAATACAAAATGACCGACGTAAACATTATTACAACAAAATCTTTAATCTCCTGATTTGAAACTACTTTCACAACCATTTTGTACAGAGAAGTTGTTGTTTTAAAGCATAATATTGATAGGTTATTATTTTTTGACGTACTTCTTTTCCGTGAAGACGGTTGATGGTCTCCCGTATGTTTGGTAGATCATAATTTTCTACCTTCCTCAGGTACTCTGTAGACTAATAGATCAATAATGTGAAAAAATAATTGTTAACACATTTTGGTAACCGAAAATTTAACTAATCTGATTCTATGAAATTATTTACTATCTATTTTAAACTGATATTTGTACATTATGGCAGAAAATTATAAAATTATAAACCTGGAAATTTACGCTTTCAGTTCTGTAAATGTGATACTCTCTTTTTCTAAAAGCTTGGGTTATTCATTCTCGACAGCAGTTAATCGGCATTTGCTATTGTTTTACTGGAGCTTCAAGACTAGCAGAAACGCCATGAACATAGGCGCAAAATTTTCCTAGGGACTAAAATAGCTTCTGGAAATACCGGTAATTTTACACAGATGAATAACAAGCTGTTGTTTATTTAAAAAATTGAGCTTTTATTACCATCATAAATTCTGTCGTTTTGTTGCCGAATATTTGAGATCTAAAAGGTTTTTTGTGTAGTTCCAGTTAATACTTCTAAAATTATTTAAATATTGACCAACAACGTTCAGAAAGATAACAGCATTTAGGGGTTTGTGGTCAGTGAGACGTCAATGGATCCCAATAGATCATCCATCAGGCTTAACCATTTAAACTTTAGGTAACAGGTTAGTGATTAACAGACAGTCTGTTGAATATCGCCAAGGTCACAGAAGGCTAACGCAGATCAATTAACTGTTCTATGTGGAGATAATCTCACTTTGCTTCTTCAACCTACTCTCACTAATATACCTTTTCAATAACGCCATCTCTCTTCTGTACGGTCTTTGAAGTAACCACAGTACATTGGTTACACAAAGAGAATCCATATCAAATATTACCCTGAGATGTAACCCCGACTTGAGCTAGCAGCTCATACTCTTACCAACCGTCCCAAGTTTATTACAATCGTCCACATGGATCACCTACAATGAGAATCTACATGAGCGTCTAAAATAGATTTAAAAGTGGGTTTTGGATAAACCAGAACACAATGTGACCAGTATCTCAGAAGTTCTGAGTTTAGACCTCACGTAACATGATGAAATAGAAGTAACTACCTTTTTAGAAATCCTTGACTTGGAAATACTTTTTAAATTGCCTACGCCTGAAATAGAAATGCTCCATTGATTCAAAAAAACGTTTCCAGATCAGCAAACGAGGGTATAGTCTAGATTTTCCATCTAACTCCTCATAGCATAATCATTCAGTAGGTCATAAATATAGGTATATAAACCCTTCTTGCAAAAAGCGAAGAAAAACTCACATTCACTAATTATCAGTATTTTGCAATGTTATTGAAAAACTTACCCCTGAGACAGTTTTTCCCACACTTTTAGTGTTTATGTCTTCAAACTCATCATCTGTTGAATGGGAGCCTGATTCCTCCTCTAAACTTCCATTTTTATCTCCAACCATCTCCTCTTTTATATTTATATCACGGTGCCAAGACTTGAATGAGTAGCTACTTTTGTCTGAATTCAAGCCATGTAATGCGTTCTTCATTTTATTGTCTTCCAACGGTTTGTTTCCAACTCCAACAAAGACTTCATTACTTCTAATAATTTTATCCAGTTCTTTTTTTGAATTCTGGTGGCCGTCGGACCTCCTGAATCTTAGTGATGCTCGTGAATGGAATAGTGGAACCTGTCTTGGTAACTTTTTACTAGGTAACACTTTTCTTGACCGATATAATGAAGAACGTTTGCATTTTAAGTGAGTTTGGTCCATCGTACAATCTATCCTATCATTTGACCTAGATAAATCCGAATTTGAATTTACTTTAATTAAACCTGGCTGTGTCAGTAAATGTATTCATCCATAAAGGTCACAAGTTTCATTACGGTAAGGATTTTGAGACTGCAAAATAAAGGTGTGCATCAATATGAATATAATTATATATATTGCGAACTGTCAGTAATAGTTGAGTAATCAGTCAGCCAGCCTGCACATCAAGCTGAGTAATTTATTAAGAGAAAACTAGTTAATTCCTAACTCAGTAAAACTAGAAATCGAATATCGCTTTGATCAAATGACCATATTCTCAATACTTTAAAGTTATCTTTACTAAGCAGTGATATAACTAGACTGCCATAAAGTTTTGATTGCAAGTCAAGACATGCAGTGGTGAGTCGGATAATTTTTCTCTGAGATCTGAAACCAATCTAATATTTTAATGTAAATGTATATTCTAAAACTTTTTGATTCAAGAAAACATTTTCTACATCGACAAATTAATATAATATTTCTGAAAGAAATAAGTTCAGTTTATTCCAATTTTAAGGTATTTATATACGTGAAAACTAAGCAAATACGCCACCTGAAGAAGAGTCAAATTAGCACAAAAACGTTGGTTGGTGTTAGTTATCAATTAAAACAAGACCATCCCAAAAATGCATACCGCACGTTTTACTGGACAGAAAGGATTTTTATTGGAAATCTAAATATGGTTAGTTAAATATCTTTGTTGATACTACTAGGATATGGTCTTTTTTATGTTCTGTTACTGGAGAATAAAACGAGAAATTTAGCAACAGTGGGAGTAACGGTGAAATTCTGACCCTCAGTAAACACTAAACTTAGATAACTCCTGGAACTTCGCTTAGAAGAAGTTGTGGAAAGTGATATCATTATTATTTATTTTGAGGAGTCCCATGATCTGTTAATTCTAATTATAAAATGCACGGATTTTTTTAACTTGTTTTTGGTGTTTTATGGATGCATGTTATAATTAGTGTTGTTAAGCACTAAGTGAAATTGTGAATTATCTTTGATGAAGAGACTCTAGGCGAGGTGATATCTTATGATCATTTCTTCCTTACTCCTTCTGTACTGCATTGGCGGCAGATTAGAGCTTCTAGGAGAACTGGCTAGGGTTCGCTCTCCAGTCCGAGATCTTCCTAAGTTTCCGTTATTTAATTGGGTTTCTATATTGTAATACCCTCATAAATTTAGGTAAGTGGAATGTAGGAAATTTTTCGATAATGTGTTAAGTAAATATTAAAACATTTAAAAATTTTTCCTTAGTCAGAAAACGTAGTGTTTTTAGAAGAGACTTCATGGCTGGACATGTTTTGTTCCCTGAATAATGACGATGAGAAGAAAGGCTTATATTATCACATAGAAAAATAAATAGGTCTCTGAACGAATGAAGGGTCTGATTTTGAAATCTTACTGGAATAACTAAGTAGTTGGACGCAAACTCCAAAGGTGGTGACAAATTCTTACGTGGTTGGTTCATTTTTAGAAAGCACTACTCCAAGATCATCATGTACATTTTATTCCATATAGGGAAGCCTTGCCATCTAATTCTTAGTTGATGCATACAATCTGTACATTCAATTTTCCGAGTATTTTATAGAAGCCCTGCAATGCAGCACACTAAAAAGCTTGTAACTCTCACTAACACAAGCTTAAGTATGGATAGTTATTGAAGCATTATATAACAGTCCTGTCAATGATATATTGATCTACTATATAATCTCGAGCTTTATTTGCATTTAATTTTGATATAAGCTTCAGTCCATCTACTTCTGTCAAACTGATGCTGGCCATTGTGAGAGTCACTAAGCTATTAGATCATACATTTCAGTCAAACCGTTTATACATAGGGGTGCCGACCGATTTAATCAGGAACAGCAGTCTAGACTCTTCTATGAAACTTGCTCATAGGCCACCTAATAAAGTTCTCTAACCAACTCTTTCCAGAGCTTTCCTTCCTGGTAGTAATCGATTGCTGTCCACTCCTGTCATTTCTTTCGCCGATTCTCGACATACTGTGTTCCTTGGTCAAACAATTTTCTATGAGCCTTGGGGATTCCTGATGAAAGCTTGTGATAAGAAGAGAAAAGAGAGCAGCAAGAAGATCAGTTATTCGACCAGAGGATTGATAAAACGTTCACAATGAGCAGACAAAGTTGTAGAATCTTTTTTGAATGTTTTATTTTTTGGAAAATCCCTCCATGTATATATATTTGTGTTATGATATGACTGACTCTTTCTGTTGACATTTTGGTATTCTATTCGATTCCATTTTGAGATTTTATCATTGTATATTGTTATTATTTCTATATTTTGTATTTACATTGAAGTTTTTATGTTTGCTTCTGAACTGTACATATGTTGTTTAAATTTGATATTTAATATGGCCACAGCCATTTTGGATTTGATACCGTAGCAATTTCGACTGGAAGCACTTATTCTTCCAGAAGCGGATACTCACCAGGGTAAATTGGACTTGGAAGGTGTAACAATAGTGGGGTAACTGTCCGTATTTCCATTTCATAATGAATAAAGACCATTTTCTCCCAGAATTATTGTGTTTTGTTATTGGATCTGGGACGTTGAGTACCGACCTGCACCTATTGTAAACGAAGTGAATTCCTGGGGTAGAAAATCCATCTACAAAATTAATGTTAAGCCAGTAGATAAAACTCATACAGATCACTAAGATTAAAATCAACTGCAGCACAAACTAGGTAGTACTGCAACGAAGAAATATAGATTGTGGTGTGGTGGAATACTTTCACGAAGAGAACACAATTGGTGAAATAGAAACATTTATTATTGTAACCAATTAAGACCAGTGATTGTGTTGTTATACTTCTTAGTTTAACCGTATTAAAAACCACAATTGCCCGCGTTACGTGTCGCTAACTTCGTTCGATTTGCCTCGGTGGTTCCGTCTACAGTTTGTATCGCGACCTCGATAGTTTTTTGACATCACGAGATCATCAATTAATATACTACGACCTCCAATACCAGCTGGTCTTTTCATTTTTGACTGTAACGGGATTTAACTTTGTTATCATGAGATAAGTACTTACAATCCGCCACATCGATGTGCTTCAAGGCGGATATAGTCCAAATAATAAAAGAAAAGTTGAAATAAGAAACTGAATGTTGGTACATAAAGTCCGAGATTTCTGAAAAAAGAGTAAGGTATGTGGTGAACGTTGATAACTATGTCTATCTTTCTTTCATAAAATGCGAACTTCTAACCAATACTGTTACTGCTAATTGGGCAAGTTTCATGGTGCATTAGCAGAACAGCGATCACAGCATATTAGTGAAAACGTGAGTCTCAGAAAAAGCAAGCGTATGAGCGCAGTATAAGAGCTATTCCAGGAACACTGATTAGTCACCTAATGAAGCACAACAGCCGCAAGTACATAAAATGTACAGACCCACAAACATGAGTGAATAGTTATCACCATCACCATCGATGTCTGATGAGTAGCAACTCTACCCTCCAACCTCTTGTGTTTCTGTGCTCATTTAAAATGATTGTAAGATAATATTTTATGCTCTACTCTAGGCTCTACACTTCACATCCTGTTGAGAAACACTATTTCTGCAAGTTGCTTTTCATAAACTTGTCTGGCTGTTATAACTTGTGACCTAAGGGCTGAACATCAATGCAATGCAGGTAACCTTATTCCAATCCTTAAATATTACTTTGGATATTTGCCGAAGACTTGGTTACTGTACCCAGGAGCCTGTAAATTTTTTAGCGGAAGAATATCAACCGCATCTTATATGCAGACCTGACTCTATCTTGAATTGTTTTGCAGTCATTAGCAGTTCGACGTAACGCAACCGTCGTAACTCGCACCAACTATTCGCATTGCACACTGCAAAGTCTGGAAAATTATCTATAATTATATGTGAACGATTTTAGTCATTTATATGAAACCAATGTATCTTGTGAAATATTTCAGCACCTGAAAAAACGTTTTGCAAAAAATGTTAGCAATCTTAACGTTTGGATCTTGCCTGTAGATTGGCATGCGTCTAGTAAAATTTTGTTATTTGAGGATCAATTGTCATTGTTATTATTATTATTATTATTATTATTATAACTGTGACGGAGAAGAACATGGGTTTCCGAACAAACTATGAGAATTTAAGATGTAGTGTTGGAAAGATATTTAACGAAGCAAACGGGAAAGTGTAGGCGTATAATAGTTACTATTAGGGCAATGAATGGTGAGATGGAACTAATGGTCTGTCATTAACAAGCCCATCCCATATGTAAGAATCACCAACTAGAGATTATTCAAACTCTGATGTTAGAAGCAAACGGTCTTCATAGAGAAATGTTTTGACACTGCCTAATGAGGAAAATATGAGGGCTTAAGAACCATGTTGATATAGGAGTATAAGAATGTGGATGATTCTATTGTTTCTAAGCTCCATAAAGTTGAATACGTATTCATATTACAAACTTGACATGTTATGACCACAAATACCAATTGACCAGACTTACGAGCATTCTTCTCTTATCAGATTTACTATATCCAGAATAGGCTGATTGGATGATTTTTCGCCTAGGCACTATGAATATTCTCTAGGATGGATAAAAATAAACGAAAATAAAATCATATGAAAAACAGTATTTTCAGACCACCTAATGTGTG